AGATAGATAGAAGAAGGAGAAAGAGAAAGAGAGGGAGGGAGAGAGAGAGAGAGAGAGAGAGAGAGAGGGGGGGGGGGTGAACGCGCCCTGGCGAATATTCGTGGCTGGGGCACCGATCGCCTCGAGATCATGGAGAGAGAGAGCGAGTCGCCGGGATCCCCTGGCTGGGCGTGACGGAAGCCCGGGATTGACTGTGGGCCCGATGGCCGATAGACCCGGGAAAAGCGAAACGATCGACGCGATGGGCCCGGCGATCGGCCCAAGCTGGCTTCGGTTGGCATTCGCGTGCGAGGAGGCACGGGGCCACGAGTCAATGTAGAACGGTCGTTGACTCCTGGCACCCGTTCGCCTCGTGCTCCCGCCGCCGTAGCTGGCGCTGCTCCCAGTGCCCCCGGGGGCAGCCATTGTCAACTCCTCGGTATTCGGGCCTGAACTCAGGGCCATATCGGAAAAGAGTTTGCGCTAACTGCACTGTAATCGCACGGCCCGATCCTTGTTACGGTACCGACGATCCTACCCCGGCTCACTCGGGGATGGAAGCTAATGAAAACCGCATCTTTTCTACCCGAGATACTCACGATCCCGTGCTAACGTCTCACCTCTCGAAGTGCAACGACCGCTCCAATAAATCGGACCTCCTCTTCTCTCTCCGTATTTTTTTCACTCTCTCTCTCTCTCTCTCTCTCTCTATCTCTCTCTCTCTCTCTCTCGCTATATATATATATATATATATATATATATATATATAGTATATGTATACTAATATATAGTATACACACACACACACACACCCAAATATTTATTTATTTATCTATTTATTTGTTTATCTCCCAATTTTTCTATTTCTCTTCAAGTCTATCTCTCGCTCGCTCGCTCGCTCGCTCGCGCGTACGAGCCGCGACGCGATACCGTTATGTCACATTTGTACACACCTGTGCGGCGCTCCTGCCCCGGGAGTCGCCGCCAACGCTATGAAATATCTCGTATGTGTGTGCGTACTTGGGCCTATGTAGCCACAACGAGCTAAGATTCAAATTTAAATGTCTACTTCTTATCGGCCGTCGACCACTGGGTCCGTCATCGCACGCTCCTCCCGTCCCACCGCGCCCTGCCTTGTTTTCTCCTGCCCTGCCTGCCTGACTGCCTACCTGATACCCCCCCCCCAACCTCCGTCCCACACCCCGTAAATCCTCATACCCCGGTGCCAACGCCGCCTTCGCCGACGCGACCGAGCCACACTCACGTATGCTAAGTCAGTCGGATACAAGCAAGAGTGATTCCTCAATGTCCTAGGTTATCTTAGCGGTGCGAGGAGGCAACCTTACCTCAAGACTTTTAGTCAGTGGATCCCTCCTCAACTTACGTTTTCATTTGATTCCTTTATGCTTCATCTCGCGACTCTGTCCCTTTTCATTTTTATTCTTTCATTTGACCCCCTCAATACAGGTAACCCTTTATTATCCAATGGCATTTTAATTTATACTTCATTGTCCATGACATTTTCCTACATTTAAAATTACATGGCGCCTGATCATATAAATGTCGATATAATGGAACGTTGTCAACTCTAATGACGATTATTAGTATTCTAGTAACAATGACTGTACATTCTTCTTGTTATTTCATTATCCGTGTTGAGTAATTTTGAGATTATTCTATTCCCAAAAAGTCCACCTCCCCTCAATTTTTGCACGACTATTCGAATTTTTAATACTATTTCCATGATCGTCGGCCTTTATTACATACAATTCACTTGCAAAAACATATGAGCTGAATATATAATATCTCGTACGTGAAAGTGAGTTAATTTAAATTTTATCCTTCAGATTAGCAAAATGTTAATTATTAATTGCATATGTGAATAAAGTTTTTATTAACGAATGCGAGTCCGAATGTAAAAATTGGTCGAAAAACATAGAGCGCCTAATTATCGCCAAGCAAAATAAAAATTTTAAACAAGAGCTCCCTTTCGGAAAACAGTTATATCCGCCGTGACGGCTAGACCGTACCGATGAATCAAAATATATTTTTACAATTACCGTACGATACGAGGAAAATGAAACGTATCGTCGACTCGACCAGCATCTGCTCTCCTGCCCTCCTACTCCGTCAAATCCCCCTCCACCCCCCCTTCCCCGGTTCCCCCACCCGCGGCAATTGCCACTCGGCCAAAACACACACGCACTCGTGCGTGTCACGTCGATGAGTCGCGTCGATCAACCGATCGTCCGTCATCGACAAAGGTCTACCAGAACAACAAGAAGGATCTTAGTTCGATAAAAACACCCTGCTCTTGCCATGCGTCTCCCTCACTCTCTCTCTCTCTCTCTCTCTCTCTCTCTCTCTCTCTTATTCTCTTATTTTCTTATTCTCTTATTCTCGTATTCACTTTTTTTTCGTACGCGCGAGCGCGCGTGTCCTGTCGGGTGCGTGCGCGGAAGTACGAAAAAAAAGAATAAAACGGTACTGTCCACGAGGATCGGTCCCATTCAAGGTCGCTTTACCTGCGCCCATCGCCGCCAACCCCAAGTTACATATCCCGCGAGAACAGTTCAAAGGATTCGTCGTCAGAACTGCAGCCCGAGATGAATGAAAGGCACGGACGTTGCTTCGGTTAGCGAGAAGCACGAGGAGCGAGGCGCGAAGGAAGAACGACGGGGGAAGAGTACGTGTGCGTGCGTGCGTGTGCGCGCGTGAAACACAGACAGAGAAAGAGAGAGAGAGAGAGAGACCAAGAGAGAGAGAGAGAGAGAGAGAGATAGATAGATAGAGAGAGAGAGAGAGACAAACAGAAGGGAAGAGAGGGAGCGAACGGGACGACGAAGCCCGGGGCAATGCTTGCGAATAACGGCATTTTCGCTTCTCTTTCGTTCGCTCTTCGCTTTCCTTAACTCCGTTTTCACTAATAAATCTCCGGCGTGCAATCGATCATCAGCGCCGAACTCCAATAACCCTTCCCAATAATCCAATATGCAAAACGGTAGAGAAGGAAGTAAGTGGAGCTGGTGCGCGATTCGCGACTTCTATGAGATAGAGAGAGAGAGATAGATAGAGAGAGAGAGAGAGAGAGAGAGAGAGAGAGAGTGAGCGAGAGAGCGAAAAAGTCTCGATGTTGGATTATCGTGTGCTAGGCTGACCTCCGTAGGCAATCTGTGCGTTAGAAAAGTTCTTATCGTTATAATGAAAGGCATAGCTATTAAAATGTGTACGATGCGAGCCCGTAATTGCAGTCGAATCCTATCCCTGTAATTAGGAATGAAACATATTCTTGTATTCCGATAACCGCCCATTAGCCATACGATATTACAATTTTATTTGCATTTATCTGAAATAATATACCCCGTAATGATGTATTATTCCAGTGCACTTGTTTATGTGTAAATTCAATTTGCATTCTTGAGAAAGGTTTGTGAAAAATTGCTCTACCCTCGCAAGGGTAACGACATTTTCACGTAAATAATTGAGAAAGTGTCGTATTTAATATTATTACATGGACATTCTATAAACTTATGATTCTTTTTACTTTTCACTTCGTAAATACTATTACGACACTTTGTATTTTACACATTCTGTAAATGAAACTCCCTCCGTCTGTATATACATTTGAGTATTTATATACATATATATGTATATATAATTGCATATTGCATATTACATCATAATTGCACTTTCGTGCGTGTGTGCGCGTGTGTGTGCATTGTGCAAATGCACAAGCGATATATATTTTTATATAAAAAAAATTTTATGTTTGGATTTTCATACGCGTGTATTCGCTTGAGTTCATTTATATTTTTGCGTATATGGGCAAATGCATATACATGTACATATCATTGGTAAATAGTAATAGTAATAAAACAACGTAGCAGTCTCCATTCTCATCTATGTAATGAATCTTGCATAAACGCGATTAATTGTAATCTTAGAGCTAAATAAATCTGCAGTATATTTTATCATCGAAGATAAGATCGTCATTGTGCTAATGTTGGGATAGGCGTTGACTAGTCGCGATTATGTCCTCGAATCGAGGACTTTCTTTCAAATCGCAGGATACTTCCTCCCGCGGACAAAGCGGAGAAAAGACGAGAAGAAGGCGGAGTGCGATCGGTTAGATGCAGAGGGGGAGTCGGGAGCTTGGAGCAACGGAACCACCGTTATGTCATATTAGGAAATACGTGTGTTTAACGGTGCTCTACCATGGGCGCGTGGCCCCATAATATCACGTGCGCCATAGGGTAAAAATAGGGCCCGAAAGACCCACTAGGAAACCCTGCGTGCGAATCCTTAGGTCGCGTAGGACGTCACTCCCATCCGTTACGGAGGTCCCCCGAATCGTCTCCGGACCCCCTCTAGCTGATCTCCTGGGAGTCGCTTCGTTCGATGTTAGGGCGAACGTAGCTTTACAATAATGCAATGAACAATACAAGGACGCAGCCTTATTGATAATTCATAGCCATTCATAGCGGTCAAATGGGCGCCGACAGTCGGTCTTGCGAGCACGGATCGCCTCCTCCGCGGGTAGAGCCGGCGATTTTCAGAGGCGAGAATCCTCACTGGCACCTGGAGAGGCGAGACCGACGTTAGTTCCGCGACACCGGGGCGACATAAAGTCACGGATAAGAGGCGCCGCCCGAGACCGCGTCAGCAGCGCCTCGCGGCCTGCACTCCCAAGGTCAATGTCCTTTTTCGACCTTAGCGTGCGCGAGCTCGAGCGAGCTCGCGCACGTTCCCCTTCCCCGGCGTGCCCTAACGGCGGCACCGTCGGAACCAGCGCGACCCAGGCGCTCCTTTAATAGCACACTGCCCCGGTATTATTGCGTCACGGCGATCGAGGAGGAAGCGCCGTGTCAAGTTCATCGATCGACCGCGACGCGAATCGTAAACACTGGGCCCCGGTATGACGTCCCATTCCTCTCGTCATCCTCATTATCATTCTCCCTCGCCCTGTTCGTTTCAGGGTAAGGATCACTCAAGGGTCGATCCCAGATATCGTCAGCACTTACCTACCTTCCACGTTGTAGCATCGGCTCAGGTCCTTGGTCCCGACCGCTCACAGGTCCTTGCGACCCATCACTTCGGCGCTCAAGGGTCGGCTCCCTCCGGGGACGATGTCGACGTACGCGCCCCGGCTGAACACACAAGAACGAGGCTCAAGAACAAATTGCGCACTGGAGGTTCGCGCGTTCGCGGTCGCTCAGTGACCCGGGATCATTGGCATCCTCGACGTCCTTGCCTTGGCCGTAGTCCTTGTCGGAGTCGTGCGCGTGTTTACGTGTGGATAGCAGCAGTTGTCGGTCATGCGGTGAGCCAATCGCGGCCGGCTGTTTTCGAGGGGACCGCGTGGTTCGTACTGAGGAGTATCGGCGGCCGCTCGATGCCGAGGCCTTCCTCGGGCCCCCAACTCAACCCGCGCGCGCCGCTAAGGTCCCCGCCGTGGCAGCGCTCGCCGGACAGGTAAAGATAGAGAGAGAGAGAGAGCGAGAGAGAGTGGGAGAATGAGCAATGGCCAGGCACATGCAGCGCCAGTGGAGTCTCGGCCTTCTCCTTGGCGCTCCTCCACCTCCCTTCATTCGCTTCGCTGCCTGCTCGCTCATACATATACACACACACTCTCTATCTCTCTCTATCTCTCTCTATCTCATTCTCCCTCTCTATGTAACTTGGTCTCCTCGATACGTACGCACGACACTGCAGGAACGTGAGGACGGGACCGTGAGGAGGCATTCGGGTGAGGACGCGAGGGAGGGAGCGAGAGCGTTGCCTCGACATTCCCCATCGATGGAGAGTCTGCACAACGGTACTTCGCATCCTACGTCTCTGCCTCTCTCTCTCTCTCTCTCTCTCTCTATATATATATATATATATATATATATATATATATATATTTCTCTCTCGATCACTCACACTTGCACGCACGCATGCACGCACGCACGCACGTTCTTCTCTTTCTCTCTCTCTCTCTCTCTCTCTCTCTCTCTCTCTCTCTCTCACTCTCTCTGTTATTCTCTCATTTCATCGTTCTCTCTTTCATTCCTTGGCTCGGGGCAGTGCGGGAACGTCGCCGAAGGAAGATCATGGCCCTAGCTGGTTACTGACCTCCAAAAATCGAATGTGGGGGATGCAACCGAAGGTTCGCCGACAGAGTGTAGCAGCCCCATGTCTAGTCATGTAAATACGGAGGGCTCGAGCTCTCGGAGTCGCTCGTCCGTTCCCTCCTCTCGCTCTCTCCACCTCCTTTTTCCCTCCTTCCATGCACGTCCTTCGGCCGTAGGTGATTGCTCTCTCGGCCGCTCGCTCAAGTCTTCTCTTTCCGTTTCCCTTTCCCTTTCTCTTTCTCCTACGTTTTCTGATTTTCTGCGCTGAGAGCGGACGCATCGCTCTTACCTCGGCTCTGAGCGAGCGCTTTCGAAAGTTCCTCTCCTAGCGGTACTGCCGCTACTTTTTTGGGACGGCTCATCATTACGAAATTCACTTTTGAATTGCTGCACGCGCTCGCTCAGCTCACCGCGTGATTAGGCTACTTGTGGAGAGGGTAGGCGAACGGGATGGGGTGATGGGTGGTGGAGGAGGTGGAGGAGGAGAGGATGAGAGAAATAAATGACTTAATTACCCGAGCGAGTGATATCGTCGGGGGACAGAGACGACTGCCCCGAGCTTTACCGCAATTCCTCGATTTTTGGCATTAAGTTTGAAGGAGGATGACTTTGACGAGTCAACGGCCTTATCTCCATGTTCTCCGTACGTCCGAATGGGCTTTACACGCAGCACCGCTAATATTAGCTCCTCGAGGTTGCACCTAAGGATATCATAATTTCCAGATCTATATATATATATATATATATATATTGAAATATATGGCTTATCATCAGTGGTATAATTAACGTCTGTAAGCGGGAATTCTCATAGATAATCAGAATCGCCGTTTCATCGCTCGTAAATACATTTGGCGGCCTAACCTTTCTTCAACAGCGCCAATTTACGTTCATTGTTACGAAAACCTATCCATTAATTCATCTTGTACAATTTATCTCGTTATATTATCCAACGATCGTAATGAGCGCAGCATATCGAAAGCCTAATTAAATTATCCGAGGCCCCCCTTTGGAGAGCCGTGATTATTGGATGGCGGTGGACTTGAGATACGGAGTCGGGAGCTCTCTTGCGGCCAGAGTCGGGAGTAGTTGCATTAACAGGGGGGAAATGGGAAATGGGAAATGGGACAGGGAAATGAGTGGTGCTTGATGGAAAGCTGAAACATGCGAGCGTAGACTGCAAAATTGGACAACTCGGTCGAATAAGCAGCGACGGGCATTTATTGAATGAGCGTGAAATTCTCACGGCCATTAGCCAGTCAATGTCACTCGACGACCGTAACCTGGGCTCCGACAAAATCTCGTCAGCGGGCCAGCCAACGTGACGCCTCCACGTCCCACGTTCCGGAGCCCCGAGCCACCCCCACGGCTCTCCAAACAAATATCCAAGATCAGTGCTGCGCCGAGGGAAGTACGAGGCGTGCGCTCGCGGCTAGAGGATCGAGGATCGAGGATCGATTACGCGTGCCTCGTAACAGGCCGTGTGCACGGGCGCCCGCAACGCGATGCCGCCATCGGCACTCAAATGGATTTAAGGTCAACCGCGCACGAAAGCGGGTCAGCGTTAGAGCTACCGAGGCTGCAACTCGAGAGCCTAATTCGCTAGCGGGGGGCATTGACCGAGCGGTGCGTTCTCCAGTCTCGCTATTACGTCCTCTCGTTACGCTCAGTACGAGCGGGCACTTGACCATCGTCGTCGTCGTCGTCGTCGTCGTCGTTATTGATGTTAGTTGGCGATTAACGGACGATGACGTGCCAAAGCAACGCAAAGAAAATCATCAATGAAAACGTTGGTTCGTTGGGGCGAGGCTGCGCTTCCACGAGATAATGGATGCTCCTCGTTTGGCAATGGGATTAGCGTCGAGGACGCTACGATGATGTCCGTGATGGCGCTTGCATATTTAAGCTGACGATCGAACGTCATCGATCGATCTCTTGATCGGGCTCGGCCGGTGCTAGTCCAAACTCTCATTTCGCTGGCTGACCAAGCGGTTATAGGGGCAGCAAGGCTATCGCACTCAAAGTACCGAAGTCGAGGGAACTCTGATAGGAAGAGAGGATGGTTAGTAGAGCTTTCGACACTCGAGAGACTTTATTATTTGTTGTTGTTGTTGTTGTTGTTGTTGTTGAAAGGAAGGATGGTGGGTGCGCGAGGTGGCGCGTGTGGAAGCGAGTGCGTAGACCCGCATAAGTCGATCGCAGAATTACCGAAAGGATAGTAATGCGTAGCCGGTCGAGTTTATATTTTGCTTTTTAATGACGAGGAAGCCAGTCCTTTTTTTTTCGTTTTTTTTCTTCCTTTTTTCTTATCGGCCAATTGACTTCTATTACCTTACCTTGTCGCTTACCCTTGCGCTGCTCTCCCAATCGGCGAATACAGCAATCGCGGTTCATTATCTTGGGCATTCTGCCAGTTCAGGCTCTCATCCTGGAGATTTATTTATTTTCTTAATAACGAATTCAGAAATTTTATTTGCAATTAATGTTATGGGGGATATTGCGGCTGGCTAGTGTGTACCTTCGGGGCTCGATAAACAGGCGCTAATAGCTGCTTTAACGGTTGGCTTAGCCTCGCATCCGCGGGCCCGTATTATAAAATAAAAGCCATAAATGAGAGTTGCATTACTTGTAAAATAAAAGTTATCTCACGTGCTCGAAACTACGTAATCCGCTTCCTTTGCTTTTAACAAAGTGGGGACGGTAATTCTTAATGCCTTGCAAATGAATCGTAAGAGTCGACGTAATTATATCAGCCGAATGCAGCAGCTGGATAATATAATTACGGCAGACCATATTTGATAAAGGATGGCTGACTTTCAGGAATTGCAGTGCCTAGAGCGGCGTCAGTCAGCCCTTTTTTTGCAACGATCTATTCTTCCGAGTACAGCTATATTAAACAGCTTCTCGGAATATAAGCTCCTTCGCTTCTTTCTTTCATTTTACTCCTTCTCTCTCTCTCTCTCACTCACTCACTCTCTCTCTCTCTCTCTCTCTCTCTCTCTCTCTCTCGATATACATATATATGTGTGTGTGTGTGTGTGGGTGTGTGTGTTTCTGCTATTGCAGGGAGGCTCGCGGACGTCTATTCTCTAGCCGCTACTGATGCTATCTTTCCTCTTCGTAGCGGCGTGGAGAAGACGCGTTGCCGAGAAAAACATCATTAGTCGAGGCAGTAGCTCCATGAAGCGCGTATTGCAAGAAGAGGCACCCGGAACCCGCGAGCGGTAACCCGCGACGCATCGATATGATATTCTCGCGGATGCGGACAACCCATCCTCGGCACTTTCCGCATTCGCGCATAAGAATGCCCCCGACTCGCTAATAAGGCCGCATTACCCGAAATATACAATGCCCGGCCGTTTACTCGGGCGTCCACGGTTCAACTACCTACCTCCTCCTTAAGGACTCCTTACTTCTCTTCTTATCACCCTGCCGCCGTTTAGCATAGGCTCGGCTAGAGGTCTGATGGGCCACATCGCTTACACGCGCTAGAAATCGAGATGACTAACGCCTAACTAATGACGCGCAAAATCTCGACTTACTTAAAGAGAGAGAGAGAGAGAGAGAGAGAGAGAGAGAGAGAGAGAGAGTGAGAGAGAGTGAGAGAGAGTGAGAGAGTGAGAGAGAGACGGTATAAAGAGAAGAAAAATCTTCACGTACCATCTCGATTTGAGACAAGAAGGAATGCGTGAATTCATTGTAAAAAGAAAAAATAAAACTGTTATATTCTTGAGTGCGCATCGTGTCAATACCCTCGGAGGGCCGCATTTGCATAGAAAAAAAAATATTGACGTGCGGGGGTGGGATATTAACTTTCTTGACAGCCGCACTCGCGGCCAAGTAATCACAGCTGATACTCGAAGTTGCTTGGAAATTTGTCAACGCCCACGATCCCTAACGATCATTCTTAGCGGCTGTTGCCCGCTTAACTGCACGTACGTACATCGATAATATCGAATGACCCTTGAGCATACATCGATAAATGGGGTGAGACCGAGATAATTAGCACTCCCAATCGTTGGTGAAATTGCAGGCGTAGACTAATTTTCACGACGAAGGGGATCGATGACTTTAGGTAGGAGCGAGATGGACAGAGCGGGCGGAACGGCGCAAAGGGCCGTACGTTAGCGAGCCAGTGCGTCGAGAAATCGAGCTTTAGGTGTCGTGGCGATTGATCGGTCGGTCCGCGCATCAACGTCTCGAGGTCGTCCGGATTCATGATTACGGTCGCGGCTTACGATCGCGAATCG